GCCACGAATGCCGAATCTGTTGGAGATGTCGGAGTGCAGGGACCGCCAGGCAGGCACTGAGGCGCGGGCCTTGGTGTCGCCCACGTCATCGGTGCAGTGGACGGACAGGCACTGCAAGTGACTGCCGGGCTGGGTGGCCGAGGCCTTGCTGGCCGGGAGGTCGTGGGCTGCAGAGAAAGAAGGAAGAGAAGAGTTAGCGGCAGGTTTGGCTCTGAGGGGCCCTGGTGAGGACAGAGTGGCAGAGGATGCAGGGGAGCAGAGGTGAGTGACGCCACACCCCTCCTCACGGCCACAAGATGGCCAGGCCAGGCTCTGGACATGTTTGGCCGGGAGGCCTCAGCCAGTGCAACCCCTCCTGGTCACTAGGTCTCAGTTTCTCCCTTGGAAAGTGGGAGAGTTGGGCGGGACTGACAGGATCCAGCCTTTTCTGACGGTTCAGAGTTTCCAAAAGATCGACTGGACATGAGGTAACTTAGGAAGTCTTCCTGGAGGAGGGACATCTACACTGGGCCTCAAGGGTGTGTAGGAGTTCACCAGATCCAGTGAGAGTGTGGAAGAGAGGACTGCGCATGTCTAGAACACAGCTCGTTCTCTTATTATCTTCAAGACAGGTGTTTGTTGAGAGGCTACCTTATACTGGGACCGTCCTTAAACGGTGCCAAGCTACTCCTCTGTAGCTAAGAAAAAACTGAGAGCCAGGAGGGAAAATGAGCTGCCCCAGGTCGCAGAGGAGAAAACGGGTGGCACTGTCCCCAGGGGAGCAGGCAGGATGGGAAGGGGGCACCCAGGCCAGCACTGGGAGGGGCAGGCAAAGGTTTGGGGGCGGGGTTCCCCATTTCCAGTCCCTCCTTCCCGTGCCTCTGGAGGTTCTGCACCTCCTCACGTAACTGTGGTGGGGCTGAGACTTGGGAAGGGCCGGAAGGGAGGAGCCCAGGACGCCTCCCGGGTTTCACTCCCTCCCACACTCTGAGCTTAGCCTCCCCTCGGTTGTACGGAGCAGGAGTCTGCGGCCCAGAGACCCCTGGAGTCACATGGCTCCAACCCGAGGGTGGGGACTCAAGTGCCAGCCCCACAAAGGGACCCAAGTCCGGTCCCCCACTCTGGCAGTGGAAGCGTCCACCAGGCACACAGTGTCCAGTCCTAGGCACCAGTCGACAAGGCCAGTCGCGTGCACAGAGTGAAGCACTCACGGCAGTGAAGGTGGGGTCTGAACTCCCTTAACTAGAGTGGCACCAAGCCCCAGCCGAGGGTTGAGGACAGCGTGCAGGAATCTATTCCCCCTCTATAAAAATCCCCTCCACTCCCTTCCCACTGGGCACACATCACAGGGGTGTCTGTCTGACGCACTTGGGGAAAGGGCCCAACAATACTCACACCTGAGTGTGAACTGGGCCAGACAAGCACAAGTGGGAGTTACGAGGTAGGAAAGGAACGGAGCAGTCATTTTGGAGAACTCGCTGCCAAGGGGCTGCTGGCTATTTTCCTATTTCCCCTTTTCAGAGAGGGCAGGTCATCCATCCAAGTTCACAGCCAGAAAGGACGATTCAACATGGGTCTCAACATGGGCTGAAGGTGAATTTCCACCTCATTAGAAATGAAACTGGGCCCCGAGTCTCCACAGAGGTAGCTCACCCAGACACTCAACTCACCCCCGCCTACCCTGGACACAGTGAGCCCAGCAGCGCCCTGCCCACCTGCGGCCCTCCGGGAGCCCAGCCTCAGCCCATGAGAGGGGCAGGCCGTTCGTGCACAGAAGCCAGAAGTTGGGACCCCCAGGGGCTTTGGGACCCACGAGCTGGGCAGGGCTGGCGCTGGGAGGGGGATCCCCACTTCCTCCCCATCCGTTCACTCGCTCATCCATAAGCCCTCAGGGAGAACCCACAAAGCGCCAGGCACGGCCTGGAGCAGATGGCGATGCCAGCAGGCAGTGTCACTGGGCCCAGAGCACAGAGTCACAGCTCCCCGCTGTGTGATCTCCCAGAGCCTCAGCTGCCTGGCGGGCAAGGTGGAGACGCCACGCCCTTGGGGCCTTGGAAGCTGAGGCACTGGGTGCAGGGTCACCCGACACCCAGCAGGCCCTGGATTCCAGCAATCCCAGCGCAGAGCCCTCACACCCGAGCCCACACTTGTCCGGCTCCCAGAAACACTCAGTAGCTGAAAGCCCCAGAAGGAGTTTTACTCCAACCGCTGCAAAAATCTAGTTCAGGGTTGGGGATAGGATCTGCCAGAGAGATCCTGAAAGCGTTACACACATCGCTTCGAGGGACCGCACAGAGCAGCACCCCCACCTGCTCACCAGGGAGGAAGCAGAGGCCCAGCAGACAGAAGCCTGGGCAGCACCAGGGCCCGTGTCCGTGCTGTGGCAGCAAACACCTAGAAGGTGAAAGGGCCGGGGACAACAAGGGCCAAATGGCCCAGAGCTGTCTTCTCCCAAGGCCTGCCCACTCCTTAAGTGCACGCTGGTCCCAGGGGTGGTGCTCCTGACTCAGGCTGGATTGCACAAGGTCATATCCCACGTGTTACCTAACTCCGCCCCAGCAAGCCCAGCACCCTGCTGACCCCCACTTTGGCAGGAGCACCTGGGGCCCAGAGAGGCTGAAGCCACCTGCAGTCTGTACCCACAGGCAATATCTTGAAGAGAGAATATCGTGCCTCGGTACTTGACAACCAAGCGTGACCGAACTCATCCCCTCCTCCGATTCATCCCAGCCGGGGGACCCAGCATGCCCCGGGACGGTCGCTCCCTCCGGCTGCCACGCCGCTGCTGATAAACCAGGCCCACAGAAACTGCCACAAGCCCTAGCCTGTCCCAGCCAGGGAGAGGCCCTCCATCCCCAGGCCCCAGGGCATCGGGCGTGCCAGCCCCCAACTCCAGCACCCAGAGGTAACACTGCCCTGGAGCTGGAGCCTCGGTGTGACGCAGCCCCAGCAGACACCATGGACCGCGGCGTCCTCACGTCTTCCCTGTGGGTTGCCGGCCCCTGCCCAGCTGCGGCTGCAGGGCCCGGTATATAGCAGGTGCCCAATGGAGAGGAGCTCACCGCAATGCGACCCCATCCCTGTCTGGCAGGTGGCGAGACAGAGGCCCCCCGGCCAGGTCAGCTCCTGCCTTTCAGCCCAAGATGGTGCTAGATCCCCCTTGCCTGGGCTCCCACAGGTAGAGCCTCAGTTTCCTCATCTGCAACCCGGAGGTAAGTTCCAAGAAAGGGATTCCTGGCGGGCCTGGCTCAGAGCAGGCCGGGGGCCCATGGGAGAGAAAGATCTACTAGGCGCAATGACCCAAGATCCCAGACTGGGGCAGGGTGGGGTGTGGGGGGCCGAGGCAGGAAGATCTCAAGTTTGAGGCCAAGCAGGACAATTTAGCAAGGCCCTGTCTCAGAAAAGGAAAGGGCTGGGGATGCGGTGCAGTGCAAAGGCCCTGGGTTCAGCCCTCAGCACTGCGACAAGAGGAGCAAAGGGGGAGGAGGAGGGAAAGGGGGAGACTGAGCCACAGCGCCCTTGGGCTGGGTCCCAGGGCAGGGGTGTTCCGGTCTTAAAGTGCAACACCTCACCCGACCAAGCCACACAGGGGCCCGAGAGGAGGGGCCGCTGGTTCCTGGGGAGCAGGAGCACATGGCTGCCCAGCAGGGAGGACCACAGCACAGTCTCAAAGCCATCTGTTGCCCAGCACTGGCCATGCCCCTTCAGCCTGTCCTCCATCCGTCAGCCCTTGCCACCATGCTGCCACCCCCACCGTAACGCCACAGCCCTTGACAAGGTCATTCCTGCCAGCCGACTTTGAATCCTGCCACCAAGGGCAGAGCTGCCTCCCGCTGCCCCGCCACCAAGAGACCCGCAGTAGGTTTTGCCCCGGTCACCTCCCAGCCAAGGGGCTCCATGGTGGGAAGGACAGCACAGATGTGGGGGCCCAAAACGCAGGCGCGCGGTAACCAGAGTCACTGTGTCCCTCTCACAGGGTTCGGCCCGGGCGTGGCGAGGGACTTTGCGCTGGCGGCTGCAGCGCTCAGAACCTGAGTTCCAAGGAAATAATGAGCCAAGGTGGTGGAGGCCACCGGGAGGGTCGAGACTGAGGCACGTGGAGCGCTCCAGCCACAGCCTGCCGGGGGCAAAGCCCTGCGGCAGGACAGGGAGGAGGGCAGAGCACCCTCGGGCTGAGCCCGGCCGGAGGTGGAACAGTCGGGAACCTGCGTCCTGGCTGCTGAGAGGAAGGCAGGAAAGGCCGAGGCTTGGGAGCAGACGCGGTGGAGGTGGAGCCACACGTGCCAGCTTCCCGACTGGGGCGGCCCCCCGCAGAGCCGGCGAACGAGAATTCCCAGCGTATTTTTAACTCGGGGCTTATGTAAGAGGCAGTGTGGGCCCGAACACGGCAGAGGTGCTCTCGGGCTCACCTGCCAGAGCCCCGCAGCGCTGAGGTGCCACTGTTGCGCCTGTGCTTGGGCCCGGGAGGGGTGAGGTGAAAGACGCTGGCTTTGGTGACAGCCGCCAGCGAGTGCCCGTCACTGAGGCCTGGGCCCCTCCTCTGGGGTCTTCTCCCTGCAGCACAGGCTCCTGGAACCCCCAACACAGGCACATCCGTGACCCCCACCCTCGAAGTCCCTTCCACCCGTGTACAACACAGGCCGAACCCAAGCTCGCCAGGCACCTCGAGCGGCTCCTCTCTCTGCCCCACGCCGGCGTCACCCACAGACCAGTGAGGGAAGAGGCTGCCTCCAGTCCACCTACTTTTTCCTGCCCCGCTGCCCAGCCGTGGTCCAGGTCCCCGCTGACCGCTGCCTACAGCGGCCACCTGGCTTCCGCCCCGTCCTCCTCTGTGATCTGGGCGAGCACCCTGAAGCACCGACCGGAGTGACCTCTCTCGTGCTTACACTTTCCAGGCCCCCAGGATGAAGTCCCCAGCTCGGCCACAGCCTCCTTCTCTCACCTCTACCCTGAGACGCTGGCCCATTCCCCAGGGTCTTTCCTGTTCTTGGAGGCCCAGCTGTGCAGCCCCTCAACAAAGCCCTGATCCTTGCCAGCTCCGCACTCGCGTGCGCTGCTCGCTCTGTCGGAAGCACCCTCGCTCCTCACGCCTGCGCCTCCCACCATCTACCTGGCTGCCGCAGCGATGCTGTTCCGACACCCGCCACGCAAGCTCTGTGACCCCTGCTAGCACACACTTCTCTCACAC